ATTCGCATTATAATTACAGGTTGCTGTAGGCATGAAGAGTGGAGCTGATAGGTCTTATTAGCTGGCTACTTTATTCGCATTATAATTACAGGTTGTCGGCGGGGCTGTTGGGTGCTGGAACTGTGTAGGAGGAAATTTCGAGAATTAAATTCCAGAAAAATGTAAATCCTCATCGAATTTTTCAATAGCAAATATGAAAATATAATTAAATTCCAAATGAATCAAAATAAAACACATAAATATCTTTCAGTGCTTACTTTTACATCCATCATATCAAGTAGCTTACCACGGATCCACTCGGCAGCTAGGTCGGGGTGATGTTTGAACAAGTTTGTTATCATCTTCTGTTTTCTGAGAATTTCGTAAAGAGGGAGTGATAATTTTGCGAGTTTTTCGAATTTAGCTCCTAATTTACCTATCCATCTTAATTTAGTAGCATAAGACATAGAAATACCTAAGTTTTCGGTTATTACTGTTTGGATGGTCGAGCTTCGTATTCCCAATACGTATTCTTTTCATAATATGATATGATAGATCATCACTTAACGCATTATCTATCGTCGATTTAACTTGCAACATATCATGGCGGGCATTTTTCAATGTTTCTTTTTCTTCTAGTGAAACTATTATCTCCATCACCCCAGTTGAAACCTGAAGAGCAAAATTTTGAATATATATTTTTGTGCTTGTTGATAATATTCTAACGGTCTCAAATCGATAGCATAATAGATAAAACCATGAGCCAAGGGAAATTTGGATTAGTCTCCATGTTTTAATAATGAAGATAAAACTCGGATATAACATCAAATGGACATTAATCGATGGTATGGTAATGTGTATCATGAACCGTATATTATTTATTGTTAATAGATAATATTCTAATAATCAAACTTGCAGGCTTAAACTCAGACAATACTACAATACATGAGACGCTACAACTAATATTATTAACCACATAAAATTGGTTTGGTTATGAAAATTATGTATGATATTAAAAATCAATGACTAGTTGGACAGTTCTTTTATTTAGGTAATACTTTGCAGCTATATATTGCACTGGAGTAAAATATTACTCACCTAGATCAATGCAGTAGACTGGAAGATTCAGACGTGAATGGCTGAGTTGGCGGGCGTAAATGAGAGCTTGAATACATTCCTAGCTTTATATAGTGAATTGATCAGGGTCATTCACCCACTCTCACATCGTGAAATCGTGTAATCAACTAGTTACATGTGCCGGTCTGTGCTTGAAAATCATGCTAACATGGCTCTTCTTACATGAGCGGATGAGATAATATGACTAAAGCCTCATGAAAGTGGTGCGATAGCCTTGGTAACGGTGCTGTAATGAACGTAGCTCACGCTATGCAGTAAGCATTCATGGTGTTCACCCGTGCATATTACGCTAGCGCTGTCCAAGCCAGCTTTTTCTTTCTGCCTCGCTCGAGTAAATGTATCATGTCATGTCATGTATCATGGTTGAAGCTCTGTATGTGTGCAATATATGTATTTCATGAGCACCCCGGTTCTGGAAAGTATTTCAAAAATTTAAATCAATTATATATTCCACAGAAGTATTTTTCAGGCAACCGCTCTAGGTTATTCTCGGTTAAAGAGTGTAGTAAAATCGGGGTTAACTCATGATTCGGGAGTGATTGGTTAATTTTATTGTGTAAATGATCGGTACCCTGTTTATGCAGATTCGGGGGTAAATGTTCGTAATAATATTGAAGTAATTAGTTAATTTTGTTGGGTAAGATTTGGGGTAAATGGTTGGGGGTAACCTATGATTTAAGCTGTTTATGGAAAGTGTGACGGTAGGCCTATTATGCTATCTACTGCTAATCACTCATTATTTTATGGCTAGACGAGCGCTTAGTATGCGTACATTAATGAAATTTTCATATTTAATGAGCAATCTCATTGTATGGAATGACGATGTAATTTAACTACAAATTATGAGCTAAGATAATGAAGAAATAGCCCCACTTATTCCGATGATTACGTTCTGTAACCTGGCTCCATAATTTAACGAATAACGCGTATAATCGTACATGTGTGATCAGTTCTTACGTAACTTATTAGCTCGTAACATAACTTGACAAAATAAAGAATATGTGAAATAGGGAAAAGTGCTGACAACCTCACTTATTTATTTTTTGAAGAATATCTGTTGAAATGTGTTGTACATTAAGCGTTTTTCAATGATACATTGGGGCTGCAAAATTCGAAGCTGGTATAAGTCTCTATCGATCACCGAGACGGTACTATCTTTGGCGCACGTAAATTTGCTTGCGCACTATTATAGTTAGGAGCTACGCGGTGCTAACATGAGGTCTGAAAAAGGGATTTCATACTAGAAGAATGAATTGAACTATGAATTTTTATTAATAATTCGTTTACACGTGGTTTTATACATTTTACAAAACCAAGAAACAAAACAATTGCGTACTTTCTCCCTCGAGAACAGTTTTACCACTCTTTCACATGTCGGTATGCATGAGGCACTACGGTAAATACTTGTGTGAGAGAAGTGTGCGAGAAAATCTGGATCCTAAGTGCATTACGTATTATTTTTCCTCTCGTAGGATTTTCATCACATATCTGCTGTTTGCATGCTTTTCAAACTTATATTTTGTGCAACCCTTCGTGAACAAATCAAACAAGCTGAGCGTCAAGCTGCCACTCAAGCGATCGAACAGGAACGCATATCGCCCCAACCACGCCAGTGCTCGGCAACTCGAAGACTTCTGGAGCTCAAGTTTCTCAGGTGTGTCACGTTCAGTTGGAAACTTGGCGTCCGGAATGTCAGTAAAAGTTACTTACATTCAGGGACTGATGAACGAGCTATTCAAATCATCTGCATGCCCGGAAGTCTCCAGTAGCATCTTAATTAAATTCACAACTTGATTTCATATTGTGTCCTGCTATTATACATAGAAATCAAGATCTGCTGCATAGAAACGTGTAAAAATTGAATGTCATAATAAACTTAAGTGACTATAAGAACTCACGGCTACGAACGGCTTTGTAAAAATCGATAACGGTAACATGCAGTCAACGTGTGATATGAATACATCAATTTCTGACAGACACTTTGTTCATCATCTCAAATAATTTTGTTCAATCTGCAGAGCGTTTTCATAAGAATCATTCACAATCGTGTTTCGACTAAAAGTCACAGAAGAAGCGACAAATGTAACTTCAATCGAATTCGTATCTGTTAGTCAGCGATAGCCTTAATGACAGTAGACGCAATGAGGCGGCATAGCGACGCTCGTTAAATGCTGATCGCTGGCAAGCTTGACCGACAATAACCATTAGATGACGACCGCTGCAGCAATATGGCCATCTTCCCGCCGCCGACGTGTTAAATTTGTTGTAGCTTTTACTGCTGTAGCAGTTTAATTTCAGTGGAAATGCTAGCCTTGCGTGTCCATGCACAGCAGGATTTAAGCTGTACTTTGCTGCGTGCGTAAAGTTTTATTATGCACATCGTGTTTTAATCTGTTCGAACACTTCAAATATTTGGCCTCGGTGGCAAAAATTTTAATAAATGTCATAGAAGTATACGAAAGAGACAGTTGTATGTACGTTTTAATTCTACAGGCATTTAAATTAATTTATTGTTACAATATTGACCGTTATTGAACTCTGTTACTGTCCGAATGACGATTTCTCCGTCACAAATTATGAGAGTAGAATAAATAAGAAATTTTCAGATTACTCGATCTGAGTTCAAATATTTTTCCTGCCTTTTATGTTAACACCAGTTTATTTGCGCCTCACTGTTCCTACTTTGTCCATTTTCTACGCTTGTCGTCCGTGCCGCATACCACTTTTTTCGTTCAATAGCTAATAGCTAGATTTAATTATTTTCTAAATAAACGCATATTAGTCATTTTTTAACCATCTATATTGTTATGTTTGGGCTGGTAAAACAGCCCTGTTTTCAACAATTTGTCACTTTACATAATATTTTTGTCGGGTAAGTCATTTCGCTGCTTCTGTCTCCACACCTTGTATACCTACGTATTAGCTAATTGTAAAATATCGACATACACACAATAGAATTATAGTACAATATGCTACGCAATGAATAATTTAATTGTCGATGAAAATTTACTATGTTATCTGAATGTCGTATATTAAATTATTTGGTCTCATCAGCTATGGTCACACAAATCAATGCATATCTGTCACTGTCCACCTACACATTCTGAATTCAATGCTGTGTGGAGGAAGAATGTATGAGATATTCTTCTGTGTCTTGCATACTATCACTATATTTAGTTCTGGTGATATTGACTAAGATTATAAATTTTTTATGCTACAATTTATAGTTATTACTAGTCTCCCGTCAATGACCTAAATATCACCTTCTGTAGCTCTAAATCAATCGGTGAAGGAACAGCTCCTTGATACTTCTGTTATGTGAATTTAAAGTGGTTTTTATTGCTAATCTAACTGGATGAAGTTTGTAAAAAAAATAAAAATATAATAATGGATGAAGTTTGTAAAAAAATAAAAATAAAATAAACCCAAATCTTGTAGACTATCTGTTAAAATATGAATACGGACCAGTGATGTGTTATTGCAAATTTTTATTTCTAATAAATGACAGGCTAACATGATTAATTGCAAGCCGAAAAATATTAGAGTTGAAAATATATCGTAATTCTACCCATTTTATCGTTGTTTTTATTTTTTATAAATAAATTTGTTTACATTTTTTAGTTTTTAAATTACATTACAAAGTCATTGATCATAAATTTGCTTCCACATATCACGGTAGGTGTCAACCAAAATTTTAAAAGTATTCTCGTTTGAAGTCTAATGTAGGTCACACTGTCACCGTGTGACTCACCAGCGTCTGTGAATGTATGAGTAATAATTGGTAATATTACCAAATTATATGATATTATATGAGTAATATAATAAAAAAATTCTTCCTCTTGAAGATCTACGATTTACGAGTTCCTTATGAGTTCCTTATGATGAGTTTAGGACGTCGTAGTCCAAGGTCACGCTGATGCGTCGGTATTCACAATAAGTAGAGAATTATCGTCAGAATTTATGTAACTTACTGAAAATATAAAGCTGTTTTCTAAATGAAAAATATGGGAAGATATATCGCGTGACAGTTTTTTAAGTAATATGTTTTTTTTCCGTACAACGTCTTTTTAAAAAAAAAATACATAAGAAAATCGCGGAAAATTAAAAAAATATTTTCAAGGCGGCACGCCACATAAGCTCCAACTAAGGTAAAGTTCCAACCCTAAATTAATTCAGAGAAGTTAAGGCAACATGCAAACTTTATGCAAGAGTTCTTTTTAAGCGCTCAGGTATGAGGTCAGGAAAGTTTATTAATATTTTAATTGCAAATTCGATAAAACTGCTAACTTTTTAATATTCTCATGAAATGACAAAATAAGACATGATCGCTTCTTGCGCATGGATCGTGGATGAAATTAATTGGTTGGACTTTTTGGGACGATAATATGAATTTATGAACACTGAAAATATATCGCTGCTCATGAACCAGAAAATTCTGAAATTTAGATTGTCTAGGGTTGAAATTTTACATAATTTTTTGGATTATTTGCGTACGAGAATAAGATCTCTCTCTCCAAAACAAAATATACAATAAGAATAATAATAATAATGCACAATTTTTTCTTACTTGCATATTTTGTCTAGGAATTTTTCTTTTTTTTTCACGTAGAGTTGGATGAAATATTGTCCCGTCCTCCTCAGAACTTAAGGTGATTTTCTCGTTGTCCAATCTGCCTTCAGGTTATATTTTGACTGCTGGATAACAGCAGCTCCGCAGAATACCGAGCTTAGGAGTCGTGCTGCCTGCCTAAAGTTACTGCCACTGTAATCCTCGACGCTGAATTAGCGTCCAAAAGCTCAGCATTTGGAAGCAACTTTACAAAGACATTAAACGGAGCCGTAATTGTAGTCGGAAATGCAGCGACCTTGTTATATTGAACTAGCTACGAATTTTTTCCTCCAGTTTTAGATTTTTTGAAATGTTTTACTTGTATTGGCGGTGAAGGATAATATATAGGCATAGATTTAGTCATTTAGACAGTCGCAATGATAACAATGACAATCGTTTCGTTC